TTTTAAAATTTATATTAAAACACTAATAACATTAACAGTAGAAATGGCTTCGCGAAATTACTTGACTTTTTGTTTATCTGATAATCGTTTGAAGCGAATGTTCATTACCCTAAAATGTAGAAAGATTAAATTATTCTTATAAATCTATAATAAGTTGTTGATTTGCTTTCAATATTATACCACTATAGACAAAACTAATAAACGAATATTTTTTACTATCAAAGAAGGTTGTCATTCAGCTATGAAACTTCTTTGTCAGTATACCTCCTTCGTTTCAACATTAAAAAATTGTTCTGTCATATTGACCATGAAGGCTCATTAGCTTGCGATAAATTATAAAATCAACCCTTTCGGCATAAAGTAATCTTGTTTGTCGTATAAATTGTTGCTTATTAAGCAATCTACCAAAACGTGACCCTGGCAAACGTGCTGTGTGCCAGTTTAAAAGAATTTAGAGAGTTTTTTTTAATGATTATGTAATATATATTAAATATGTTATTACGATAGTCGATCGAGCGACGCGATAAGATGGCTATTAAGAGATGAGGAGCCTTTCTAAAAAAATTAACTTCCAAATATGTAATATAACGAATTTAGACTTGATTTTTTTATAGGAAAAGTATTAAAAATACCGTAAAATTTTTTTCATAGATTATACATATTACTTTATTTACTTTGTAGCTTAAACAATCAAATTTTTTAACGTCACAATTAATTTATTTTCGGTAATAACAGCGGAAATGACTTCGGATTATTTTCGTAATGGCTTAGTATTTTGTTGTTTAGTATAATTATTGCTTATTATAATTAATAATATCTACTTATATATACTTCATAGTTCATACTACTACTTCCTCTTCTGGATACAAGAACTATTACTACGAGTGTACAACGTCGCACTACGTACTATGCGTTACACGTTTCTCATTCAATAAACAATACATATATTAGCCAATATATAATGAAAAACGCCTCACTATCAGTACGTAGTAACGATGGAAGACTTGTAGTTAGCATACAAAGTAGGTTTATTTTATTCGAATGGATCTCATTTGGTGACTCAATTGTTTTTTTATATAATACTAACAGTATAATGTAGAAAAATATATGTTTGTTTGATTATATGTATATATTTTAATATCAGTTGTATTATAAGCAGTACGCTAAACACGAGTTTCGATCTTCACACTACGTACCTTTCGTTTGCTGTTTCTCATTCAATAACTTAATGAGATGAAAAATCTCAGCATTCAATGTATTCACCATGAGGGTGTCGGGTCCATCTTTGTAATGAGAGGAGCTTCAACAGTGACTGGGACTTGCGACTCAGGTGTAGGTTTAAGGAGTGCCTATCTAACGCGTTAAACGCTCACCTCCACCGTCCAAGCTTCTCTTCCTACCTAACCAAATTTGTAACGAATTTGCTAAGGCTTCCTTCAAAATATTTTCTAAGTCCTTAATTAATGTTAGTTCTGGATAGGCCGATTTTTTTAGTAGGTTGTATAGAGATTTAGCCGTTATACTCGCTCGATCCCTCGCTCCTACTTCTACCGCGTACAAATTCACAACGAACCTATTCCTAGTTTGTTCGTTAGTGAGCTCGTAATATTTATTGACCTTAATGGTATGATCTTTTGGGATGTTGGTTTCCCAAGGCACCGTATGCTTTATTATCACAACGCGCTTTAAAAATCGTTAACATAAAATATCTCTGGTCTGGAGGCCGACATACAAATATCCTCTGGGATTTTTTATTGCTTGCTTAACTGACTACTGTTAATGCTCCGTTTTAGTATAAGGAGGCGAGCATGGAGTATTATAGTAGTATATAATACCTAACAATATAATACAAATGTCTTTTTTCCTCACCAATTAATACCGACACGTGAAACATGTCGTAAGCATTATCCTAATTGCTTTTATTGTTGTCTTTTTTTTCCTGTTACTATCAAACAAAACACGTTATAAAAAAGTTTTTTTTTAATAAATATTTTTTTAATTAAATAATTTATAGTCAGTGGTGGCCTAGTGGTTAAAAGTTCGCCTCTCGTGCGAGAGGGCGAGGGTTCGATCCTGGCAAGTGCCAATGTGATTTTTCCGAGTCATATGCACTTTCTGAGAGTATTTAGACACCACTGACAGACGGTGAAGGAAAACATCATGAGTAAACCTGGCCTTACAATAAAATTATAAGTTTGAAATCACCAACCCATCTTGAGCAAGCGTGGTGATTATTACTCAAACCTTCTCCATGTGAGAATAAGTCTTTGCTTAGGAGAGGGCTCTGATAGGATGATGACGAATAAGTATCTAGCTTTATTTTATATAAATAAAGTCGTTTGATAAAACGTTTATAATAATTTATTTAATATAGTTTTTATGGTTATAACGTCGGTCTATTTTTAGTTATTCATTTTAAGATAAAAATCTTTTTACAAATAGCCATAAGGTTAGACCCGGGTTAGTTTTTGTATACAATATTTCGGAATGCGTTGTAAAAACATTGTCTAAAAACCGTTCCTCTTTTTGTGTCGGATACGTTCAAAGTTCAAATCGTTGAGGAAAATACAAATAAATAAATACATTGATACATTGAGGTGGATAATTTTAATGAATAGAAATTATTTCCTGTATAAAATTTTCAAAACATGCTTTTAGAGGAACTAACATCGTCGTCATCGGCCTATTAAAGCCCACTTCTGAGCAAAGGCCTCTTTCTCACATGGAGAAGGTTTGAGCATTAATCACCACGCTTGCTCAAGACTTTCGAGGAACTATCGTGATGCTTTAAACGCTGAGTGATACTTATCTAGGGAAAATGTTGCTTAATACAAGTCCTTACGTCACACTCAATACTTAGGATTGTTTAATTTTACATTCAATGTGCTACCTTTATATTACTAAGTGTGAAGATTTAAGAATGACACACTTTCAAAGCTGCGTATGCATATGAAAACGGAATAATGTCTTGGAATTACCGATGTACTGTATTCAAAAAACTAATATTATCGGATTTACTATGCGTTTTTGTTATTTTAACTGCATGATATCTACGTTTCGATTACTTTTCAGCAACCATGATCAAGAAGACGATATATGAATGTCTTTCGTTGATCACGATTGCTACTTTACAGAACCGTCGAAAGTACATATGTTGTTACAATAAAAAAATGTATTAAAGATTTTAATTATTTTTGCAAGCGTCCTTTCTTTTATCTTTCCTTATTCCGTATCGTATGTATATATTTATACCTATGTGTATGACTATATTGTCTATTTTTATATAATTATTTGTATGCTATGTACGGAGGTCGTAGAACATAACTGAGGTCAAGTTACTGCAGATCGAACATGGTCTGGCTCGACCGGGTACCGCCCTTTCACAGAAGATCGGCGTGAAGTAGTCAGTAATGGCTGCGTTTCGTCCGATGAGCGTGAGAGCTCATGAGTTGGCCCCTTTATAATATTTACATATATCTCGTCTTTTTCCTCTTCTTGATTCGTACCTAAACCACAATTTCTGTATTTATTTCCTTTATTAAAAAGATTAATGACAGAGATCTCTATTAAATGAAAAGTTATCCTTTTTTTTATAAGATTTTATTTTATAACAAATAAACAATAATTGTCAGTATTAAATTATAATCGTTTATCATTTTTTATAACCAATTGTTTAATAATAAAAAATAGTCTTAATAAATTTCTTGATAGAACAAAACAACGAGTACTTATGCTCAATTAAAATAAATGAAATTATACAAAAATGTTGATCGCTAGTTATTACTGGTCTATCGTTCTGCAAATATGCTGATTTAATAATATTATTACTAGTTTTTGTTCGCGACTTCGTCTGGGTATTCGGAGTGATATTTAGATTTAAAAATTATTTTTTTCCAAACTACCCACATATAAATTTGTTAAAATTTATGGAGATATATGAGATAGTATTAGGGTAAGTTAATGTTGAATTGGTGAATTGCAAATCACCCCCAAATACGGGCAGAAAGGGAAGCCGGAGAGTTTCGTCGTGCCAGGGTAGTGGGCAGTCTGTAAGCGGATTTCTCCCAAAAAAAAAATAAAAAAAGGGCATGATAATGTACGGAATATGTATATAAAAAAAATTGGCCCTTTTTAATAAAATCCTACGTGTTTTATAAATATTCAGGAATATATTTCAAACATATTTATATAACCTTGACACAACTTGACATCACAATTATAACTATATAAAACGGATTCCGCGAAAAATATACATAATTGTTACGTTAATTCTTGTAAATAATCTTTATTATTAATTTATATGGTTATCCGAAAGTGACATATTATAAAGGAAATAAAACACTTTAAGATTAAGCACTTAGATTTAATATTATTGACATAATTTACTTATATTTTGTTTATAAGGCTTGGACATGCACAGTAGGCTCAAGATTATAATTCGTCGGATAAATTAAAACGTTGATATTGCCTTAATTTTTCACGATTCGTGTGCGAACGAAGACATACTCGTAACATAAAAAAGTCTAGAATATTTACATCCATTATCGACGTAGTGTTGGAGCTGAAAATTATGTTTTTTTTTTTAAATTAATTTATATAAAGTCCGGTCAAGCAATCTACCTAGACCTCTTATTTATATACTGTTTTATCAAACTTAACTTTTCGTTGCGTCACTCATATAAGATCGTCTCTAGTAACCGATTCTAGCCATAATAACAAATTACTATATGAACTTTTGTTAATTGCAAAGTGATGTGTTTTAAATACTTTAATGAAAATTTCAAGCTTTTTATTATCCTCCCAATTGAAGATTATTCGTAATTCTTTTTAGAGAATTAAATGATTGTGAGAATATCGTCCCAGGATACTCACTATGTTTGGTTGTGAAGAAAAAAATTAGCGATATTGCAATGTACGCTAAATAAATGAATTAGACTAAGTTTTTTTGACTTACAATGCTACCATTTATTCATGTTGTATTATTTTGATTCTTCAATAGGATGCCAAGTAAAGTGATCGAGCAGCGGCCGTTGGATGAAGAGTATGCAAAAACTGGAGTCAGTCCATCAGACATCGCGGCGTTGAGACAATGGCTGAAAACACAACCACATCTGCCGGATAAATACATCACTGGTAACCAAAAATCATTGACATATTTGCAACCTTTGAAGCACATGTATTGGCTATAAATATCTGACTTATGGGCTATTTAGTTGGGTGCTTTAAGTGCTATTGACTAGTTACCTTGTCATAATCGTCATCCTATCAGAGCCCACTGCTGAGCAAAGGCCTCTTCTCACATGAAAAAGGTTTGAACATTAATCACCACGCTTGCTCAAGATGGATTGGTGATTTCAAACTTATAATTGTGAAATTATAAGTCCAAGTTCCCTCACGATGTTTCCCTTTACCGTCTGTCAGTGGTGTCTAAATACTCTCAGAAAGTACATATGACTCGGAGAAATCACATTGCTACTTGCCAGGATCGAACACGCGCCCTCGGCCACCACTTACCTAGTAGAACGTATAAAACGAATTGCTGTTATGTTTTCTTTAGTTCCATACATTACGTTTCAGATTTGGAGCTCATCCTGGCGTATTACAGTTGTTACAAAAGTTCCGAAGTGTCTAAACAGGTCATTGACCTTCATTACACTTTGAGGACGCTCTTCACGAATCTCTTCCACAATAGACTCGTCGACGACAACTTTATAAGAACTATGAACGTCATGTAAGTGTTTGATCTTCTTCTTCTACCTGGTTATTTCCCAGCTTTAGCCAGGGTCTGCCTTACATGTTGTGAATAGTTTTGGCTAATTGTTTTTACGACCGGCCGCCTGCTTGAGTGTTTTATATTATGGTTAAAATATTTTGATATGATTTGTTATTACAGACTGGGTTTCCCAATCGAGACGAGAACTTCCAAAGACTACAAAGTCATCTACTTCAGGCTGATTGACTATGATGCGAAGAATTTTGTTTTCTCTGAAGCAGTTAGGTTTGTTTTGTTTAATATATACATAACAAATAAGATTGAAGTTTATCTATAGCTTAGTTTATCCGGATCTATCTGTTTCACTCATTATTTAATTATTATTTGTTTACAAAAACTTTAATAGAGATTAAAGATCATTTAGATGAAACTAATATTTTCGGATTTACTACGCGTTTTTTATTTTTGACTATAAACTACATACTCCCGACGTTTCGGTTACTTTACAGCAACCCTGATCACACAGACGAAATGTGAGTGTCTGTCAGTCGGTCATAGTCAAAAATAAAAAATTGCTTAGTAAATCAGAAAATATTAATTTCATTTAAAGGAGTACTCATAATAAAGTTCTTTTTTACGAAAACTCTCGCTTACCTAGGAACAATTTGTACTATACTAAGCTCATTTCCTTCCTAAGCAGGTAATTTCACAATATTTTCTAACATTTCCAGGGCGGCCATAATGCTCATAGATTTGATGCAGTACGAAGACGGAGCGTGGAAGGGATTCGTCATATTAATAGACTTGAACCGCGTCACACTGAGTCACATCGCCAGGCTGGACCTGCAAACTATACAGCAGTTACTATATTACTTACAGGTAAGACCATTTGAACATAAAGCGCTTTTTTCGCTTAAAAATTGATAAACGATTTATTAGAATAATTAAAATTTAAAAATATGAAAGAGATTTTTTACCTAATACATATCTATATGGGGACTTTTTTTGTTCTTACCTAACTTTACAACAACATAGTTCTTTATACGTATAAAGTTATATATAAATTTGATTGAATAATAATTTTATACTCAACATTTTTATTCTCTTGTATAGAAATAAGAAAAATTATATAGAAGATTACACTAGTTACAATAATTTATTTTAAGCTTATGTACATTCTTTACCATAACAACCTATATAACATACTTATTTAAAATAACTTCACTCCAGGAAGCAATGCTTGTGAGGCTGAAAGGTCTACATTTCTTGAACGCTCCGTCTTTTATTGATCGTCTCATGATGTTGCTGAGGCCGTTCATGAAGAAAGAGCTCATGGACATGCTCAAGATACACCAGGTCGGAGCCACGACCCTCGAGGACACGATCCCTATAGACGCCCTGCCGAGAGAAGCCGGCGGAAAAAGTAATACCTTCGAGGAAATTAAAAGTAAGATAGAAGAATTAATACATTTATTTTATCCTAAAAGGGGTAACAGAGCAGACGGCCTGCTTGAAGGTGGAAGTACCGTCGAACATAGACATCAGTAACATAGTTTGCAGATGTGTTGCTACCCTTTATTGGGGAAAAAGGGGAGGAAAAGTTGGAAAAGGGTGGGAATAAGGAAAGGGAAACTGGCTCTGTCACTCATCGGACGAAACGCAGCCATTAAATACTAATTCACGCCGATCTTCTGTGAGAGGGTGGTACTTCCTCGGTCGAGCCAGACCATGTTCGAGCTGTAGTAACTTGACCACAGCTAGGCTCTACTATCTATAAAATATATTTTAAATTTGCTATAAAAAATGTAAATTATTGAGAAGCCATAATGACATTATATATTAATCTTTAGAAACTTAAGTTTGGTCCATCATGTTTTTTGAAGCTTTTTATTCAATGCCATATTAATACAAATCATATACATTAAAAGTATCAAAACTTTATATGTATTTATAATAAAATAAATTATTTTTCAGACGAAATGATTGAAAAGTTAATAGCAAATAAAGATTTCTTCGTCGAAGAGAATAAGCGGCGAGTTACAGAGTCACTACGCCCTGGAAAACCGAAAACTATAACGGATATATTTGGCGGAATAGAGGGATCCTTTAAGAAACTTGACATAGATTAATAAATAGATCCTATTATAATGAAATGGGCAATTGTTTTTATTACTGTTTAATAGAAAATGTCACTCCATTTTTGGTTAATTAAAAAAGTTGTAGTGTAATAAACTTTTGTTTTTTATTGTCACACATTTTATATTAAGATACTTTATAATATAATTTAAAATGTATGATAAGAAATTAAACCCAAAAGATCAATCGATAACGAATGAGCAATAGTATAACTCATACGTCTTTACATCTAAATAATATTTTAAAACAGACAATAATTTTAATGGGACATAATATTATAGGAATAATAAATAAATTTGCTTATTTAAAAATCCATTTAATCCAGTAAATTTGAATTATACCTTTAATATGCAACGAAATTTCTTAGCATTCAATGTATTCACGGTGCGGGTGCCGGGTCCATTGTTGTAGGGAGAGGAACTTCAATAGTGCTTATACATATGTATATACATTACAGTCACAGGAATAAGATACTTCAAAGAAAAGTATATATGTTATAAAGGTCAAATATTAATTTAATTATTTGATACATTATTGATAATAAAACCTACATAGAGGTTGTGTTTATAACTTAGTACTCAGTATAATAAAAAAAGTATTGTGAATACATTTAGACTAAGAGGGATTTCCTTTGGGATTTATTACCGATCTATGAATTTTCAAGCTGCAATCATTTCAAATATTCTTTTCCAATTGGATTTCCATAGTTCAAAAGTCGATTTTTGAAGTTATTGTTAATTACACTACCAGTTAATCTAGTGTCATGAAATTTCACTTTTGGTAATCAGAAGGAAGGGGTGTTTACTTGAGGAGAAACGTAGGAAAAGTCAGTGTATTTCATCAACTGTGTTACAAATTACTAGCAGTAATTCCAGTAACATGAAATTCGTTGATCTGTTTCCGAATTGTAAGTGATTTGATAGACAGTCACACTTGTACCTGTTCCGTTTTAATTTTTTTTATTTATATCATCCAAAACAATTGTGTATAATATACTATAAATAAATCTAAGGTAGTCCTAGTAGGTTCTTTTCAAATTTAGTTAGGTAGAGAGAGGAGCTTGGACGGTGGAGGTGAGCGTTTAATGCGCGTTAGATAGGGTCCCTTAAACCTACACCTGGGTCGCAAGTCCCAGGCACTGTTGAAGCTCCTCTCACTACAACGATGGACCCGACACTCGCACGGTGAATACATTGAATGCTAAGAGGATTCATCTTCGTCTTATATAACTCCTAGCGTCATTGTTTTGCAATGTATTTCTAATACAATTAAATGTTATCAATGCTTAAGACGTCAATTCATTGTCTCGATAAATCAGTTTTTACACATACGCTACTCAATTAGCTTAAGATTATGCGAAAATATACCTAAGCAATTTAATTAATTAGAAAAAAAATAATTGTTAAAGTCCCTCCACGAAGAAGTGACACTTTATAATATTAGAATGAAAACAGGAAGATCTAAAAATAGAAATTGATTCCTAACTGTTTCTGTTACACATATTTTATTAGCATTACTTATGTACAAGTTGTAATTAATTGCTCAAATACATATACGTTCGAGCGTCACGTATTCACTCTAGCTCTGTCTCTTTAGACGCACATAAACATTCCATGTCTTCTAGACATAATTTAATACCCATATTACAAGTTTTGTGTGTAATTTTCATCAGTGACACACTGTATGTAATGACATTTCTTAATGTCTTCTTCATTTGAAGGTCACTAATACTTGGTTCTTTGAATTCTGATAGACATACTGAAAATATATTTATTTATAGTATACACTCTAATAAAATTACTTATATTATAATAAAGAGGAAACTTTCTTGCGGAATGTGATGAAAAGGGGGATATGATTTACAAGACACATAGGAGATATTTGAGGAAATAGAAATCTCTAGACGTTCTTGTCAGATTGTCTCTAAAACGCTTTTTTTATTATATGTATTATGGATGATCTTATCACCGTTTTGTCAAAAAAATGTATAAACATACATATATATATTTGTGGCCGTGTTGTAAGAGCCATCTTAGGATAATTTGTCTTGTGTGCAAGGAACAATTGAATCATGTAATCGGCATTTGACAATAGACTGAGTTATATTTATATTTCTCCACCTGCGACATCTTGCTGTTCATATACCTCACGAGGTTTATATGTAGTTTAAATTAAATGTCCTTATAAGAATTAAGACAAAACTAGTTGTTGCCGACGACTTTATACAAATGATTTCGGACTGACTTTAACCCATCCAATTATAGCTAAAACAATATTATTAGCAACGCCTACTAAAAATTTTTATGGATATAGTCAAGACGATGCTGCAAACAGGCAGAATTCTAACAAATGTAGATTCTCTATCGTGATAAAATTCCCCAAAACTAGTTTTTTTAACATACCTATATACTCGCACACGTACAGAAAACATTGACGTTTTTATTACATGCAATTTATCTTTTCAACAATTTATTTTTGTCACGGAGACTGGCTAAACTAATGTGACGTTCTAAGTCTCCGTAACAAAATGCACATATTAATTTTAAGCTTATTTGAAACGAAATCATACATACATATTAAGTTAGCTGACTATTGCAACATCCCAAAAACATAAGCTGTCAACTTAGAGCATTTCTCACAACTCTTAAGAAGAAAGATACCTACATTTGTGTATAAATATACGACAAATTTAACTCAAGTTTAATGAAAACCTTAATCAGAGTAAAATTTTCACTATACAATAACTAGACCTCCTACATAATTGATATTATTTGTTTAGTTTAAAGATTATTTTACAGTTTGCGATTCCTATAAATTGCACTTCTATTCAACAGTGTGTGTATAACAGTTACATCTATGTCCGACCTTGAAATTGTTGTGAATAAATTTCCCAAACAACGACAGACATGAGGTTTCGCGCGAGCATTTGTAATATGTTTCGAAACTTAACCAACTTAACCCGTTATTACTGATGAAGAGTGAATTTCTTTAGTTTTCACCGTTTAAAATGTTGAAATAAAGCAATGTGTGATAGTTTTCTATAAAATCCTTGAGGTCTAGAACAGTTGTAAACATAAAACAATTGATTCTCAAATGCGACATAACTAGTGACCCGGAACGATTTCGGTCGCGAGTTTGTCGACATTATAATAGAAAATTTTACTTAAAATCATGTGTGTATGAATATGACAACTTAATTTTTAATAAAATAATTAAATTTTGACCAATCAAATCAAAGCTAATACTTCCTTTTTCCGTAAAAAATATGCTTTGAACCAATGGTCTTGAACTTTAATCATTAAATGTCATATGATCATTATCCGAGTTCCACGGCTAATTCACTTACGTAACATATATGTGTTGTTTTATAAACTATATATCTCATTGTTATGACTTAGTTAAAGACGCTTATACGAGCAGTCTGTATTTCCACTTGTTGTTTCTTTGTATCTTTGTTTTGTCATCGTTCTAGAGATATCAGTGGAACATTCTTTGTAACTTTTCTCAGATGGAAGTTAAGATTCCAAGGGAATTTTATTTAAAAGAATCTACTACAGACCTATTAAGGATTTATATAAGAATTATAAGTTCAATATTAAGAACATAACGTCGTTAAAGATCAGATTGAAGTGTAAGGCAGTTATCAAAAGTCGTACATAAGATTACAAACTGTAAACCTTTCGACGATACAGGAATAACGAAGTGTTGTGCAAATTGGACTGAAGTTCTGCGAGGTGTGTAAAACAGCCTTTATTTGTTTAGAATGTACACTGTAAGTAGCATGTGATTAATATTAGCCTTTATTATGCAGGGAAATGCTTAATGCATACTCATTACGCATTACGTACTGAAGGTCCCACGAATGTCCCACGCGCCGTTCTTCTGCTAAGCCTTAGGGTACGAAAGACGATTCTGCTGTGGTGACGAATTAACCTAGTGGTTATCTAATGAGTTTTTGACTTAAGTGTCTAATGTCAAATCATCTGTCAATCAATCTACAAAATACATAATACGAAGGAATGATAACATAACAAATTAAACACTAAATAATTACTCATTGTAAAAAAAATTACCTTAAAAGTCCTTAATATAATAAATATTTCAGCTTAAACTTTCTTTTGATAATCTGCTTCCTATGTAGATACGCGGAATTATCCAATGGTGGTTATGCGGATTTGCACCATCCCCGACTGTATAGATAGTATATGTGAGAAGCAATTTTTGTTCATTCTTACTTGTTGCAGAAACCTAACAAAAATTAAATTTTCAAGAACTTTTAATATAGAATTGAGAATGAGAAACTTTTAATTTCCATCATATTATTTACTGGTCGGCAACAAATATAAAACGTAGTTTTATGTGACATTAAGTAAAATATACAAATTAATATAATAATACATAATATATTTAATAATGGAATAATTATAATGTATTTTGTTTTATTAATAGTGAGAAAGGAAGTCTTATAACATGTGGGTGTAATACGTTTAACATTTGTCCGTCAGCGGCTCACGGAGGCTGTCGCTTTTTTTAAATTTTTAAGCCGCGTTTTGTGTAACTTGACTGTGAGTATTCTTACATAATATATAATAAAATAAATTACTTATTGTGTACAAAAATATCACTTTTTTATTATAATGTGCGTAAAAATATTCTGTATATAATTTATCTAATGACATTTATTTGAAGATTATGGAAATATGAATTCACATATACATATGTAGTGATGTACCTATAATGTTCGATTATAGATATTTTTAGTGAGGTTCTAGATAGTAAAAATTTAAGTATTTTAACGTACCCATGGGCAAATATTTGATCTGTTTTGATCAAGTTTAATTGGGTATGTATATTACAGAATTCTTAAGAACTTATATTGCTGGAGTCTGACTGATCATTCACAGATTAAAGCAGATTTCGATAATAAATAGATTTGTTACAGATGCTATTATTGTTTATTATTTGTGTTAATATACGTGAAAAACTTAGAAATGAAGATTGACTGCTTGAACATAATAGATTTTTGAATCCCATTAGCATTAAAATGGCGCACCTTAATTTATTATTGGTAGCCAGCATTGCTAAAATTTTATCACAACGCGTTTCAAATGACTCTCCCAGATCAGTAGGTTTTGTGAGAAGAGGCACTAGGACTATAAAATCAAATTCTCTATCCTTAAAGAGGTGGAAACGTATGAAAAATAATATAAAATCAGATACAAAACCAGATATATTTATGTATTGGCGAATTTTAAAGTGCCTTGTGTTAATATAGCTTACGCTTCCTTGGGAAACCAACCTCCCCAAAGACCATACCATCAAGGTCAATAAATATTACGAGCTTACTAATGAACTCACTAGAAACGGGTTCGTCGCAAATCTATAGGAAGTGTAGAAGAAAGAGCGAAAGGTATAACAGTTAAATCTCTTAACAACCTACTAGAACTTACATTAATTAGTCCTTAGAAAGGATTTCGAAGGAATCCTTAGCAAATTCATATCAAATTTGGTTAGGTAGAGAGAGGAGCTTGGACGGCGGAGGTGAGCGTTTAACACGCGTTAGTTAGGGACCCCTTAAACCTACACCTGGGTCGCAAGTCCCAGGCACTATTAAAGCTCCTTTCCCTGCAATGATAGACTCGGCACCCGCAAGGTGAATACATTGAATGATGAAAAGTTTCGTCTCTAATTATTATACATATATTATAAATTAAATAATATGTGTGGATGCAGCGGTTAATAGTGAAACTCTTTACAGATAAGTAGTAATTTTATATTTATTTTAATACTTAATTAATTTAAAACTGGATTGTATTATGTTGTCATGTCATTTATTTCATAAAATCCCGATCACAGCTTCATGACTATGTAATATCAAAAAAAACTAGAACTTAATTATGCGGATGTCTACTATTATATTTAATTACTCATACAGATTATAAATTGTATACATTCTGTGCTATTATTGACAAACATGACAATGACAATATGGAAACAACAAATAATGGTAGCAAAGGAATAATTTACTCTGCCTATATGTTTCATGACTTGAGGTTTTAATAAAATAAAACCTCTTTCGTACTAAAAACTTATGATTGTTTTAATGTCTGATAAAGAAACTATTTGACTTGGAATTTTATTGGTCTACGTAATGAGAAAACTGCTGGATAATGTTATTTTATATTCAAAATATTTAATATTCATAAACGAATATCTTTTTTTACAGCTTTAGTGGTATTAATATATTCAACTTCTACATCAATAAAATAAATGAATATATCATTGTAAATTAAATGCAGCATCAAGTGTAGAAACAGTGAGAAAAAGATATATTTAATAGGAATAACAAACGGTTTATAGGCGGAAATGATGAAACTGGTTCTACAATTTAACCATCCGAATTAGCACTGATAAAGTATAGACGGAAAACGTGCAACGTCCTCGATTGTAGGCCTCGTGGGTATTGTTTAAGAACGTTGTTTCAAAGGCTTTGAGTCCATTAACAGACCGGTCTTTTTAAACTGGTTTTATAAAATATTTGGAACATATTACATAACATACGTATTACACTTTCTTATAACCATGGCCTTCGATAATATTTAAGTGAATTACTATGAGTGACCAGAAAATATATGGATTGTCTTTTCAGAGAAATGCCTTCACAAGACGGTCAACCGATATCCTTGGAAGAAGAGTACAAAAAGAAGACGGGGATCAGTCCAGAAGATATAAAGAAGTTGCGTAGTTGGATGCAGACGCAACCACATCTACCAGAGAAATATATTACAGGTAATGAGATCTAAGATTTTTAAGAATACTCATTTAAATGAAACTTGTAATATTTTCGGATTTATTAGGTCTTTTTTATTTTTGACTATAAACTACATACTCGCAACGTTTCGGCTACTTTACAGCAAAAATAAAAAACGCGTATCTAGTAAATCCGAAAATATTAGTTTCATATTAAAGGTACATAAAGTATCTTTTGTAACGTTTTTTATTTATTTCTTCCATTATAAAGTAATATTAGCTAATAGCGTATAATAAAACAATAAATACGATATAATCGTGCATTATCAATTAAGACAATACGGAAATAGATTTCTAAGAAAAAACATATATACAAACATATCAAATGTCAGTTATTTTAATTAAAAAACAATAATTACTCAAGCATCTCGCAAAGTATATAAAGTAATATGGTTTTAAAATAGTCTATAGCAAAAAACTTTTTATAGATTATAAAAAAAAACACGTTAGAGTTTAAAAAATGTTATTAATACTATATGCCCTTGAAACTATATAATGAATAATATTTTAGTTGTACTCGGCAAGAATTTAAACTATTCTGAATATATATATATATATAAAGTCGCCAGAAGGTCACAATAATTGTAGCACATACATACATACGGAAAATGGACTACGTTTCAGTGATTCACTTAATAAATACTGGTGCAGGTTTCCTGCCAATGAATCTCATTAGTGACATGCGATGATGCAGATATAATGGTGAAATGTAATTATTAAATGAAAAAATTACACCGAGATGTACTTATACATTGTTGAAGAACTTGATAAATGTTTGTTTACAATAATAAAATACGCGTAGCAGATGATACAAATATTAGTTTCATTTAAATGAATACTCGTGAAAGCCTTACCTCTCATTAAATCTTCTTCTATTTCCCAGCTTGAGCCAGGGTCTGCCTTACATGTTGACTAATTGAATAGTTTTGGCTAATTGTTTTTACGACCGGCCGCCTGTCTGACATCAACCCTCTTTTTGGGAAATCTCATTAAATAAATGTTGTTAAAATTATTTCATGCTTATATATAAAAATAAGTATATTACTTATATATACATAAGCATAAAACGTATATAAAAATCAGTGTTTATAGAGCATTTTATGGTTTTAATAAGGATACTTTCAGATGTTGATTTTGTTTATTAAATAACTATACAATTGGATAATAAATTTTCAAACTTTTCTTGTTTAACTAACGTTCAGTGAATTTACGGTAAAACATTCTTTATACTTCGATATAAAAAACATGTCATACTGCATTTTTAACAACTGTAGATAAATAATTTGTGTTTGTTTACCCAATATTCAGGGGCCATCTGAAAATCAATGCTGTGCATTAGCACAGCTTATACTGAGATGAAACCCTTTGCTACACTGTATTCTTTAAATTTATTTTTTTTCTTCTGTATAACTGTATAATATATGTATCATGTATGTGTGTAGCAAAAAAAATAATATAAAATAAATAAAAAAATATTTTCGAAAACAAATTCTCTGAAAAAACCATAATCTGTCATTGGAAGGTACCTTCCTCGTTAGTATTCCACTTAGCTTTAACTGTATGTAGTTAAGCATTGTCTCGTTGTAATCAGTTGTTGCAACTCATTTTCTTTTCACAAAACCTGGATATCTCCAACAAAACCTCATACTTTCCACTATATCCGTCATGCATAGTTCGACCATATGCTATGATTTCGAAGTATTCCTTCATAAATCCACGTGACAAATAACAGTTAATATATAAAAAAGAATATCCAGTGTACAGAATATAAATAAATCCAGTTTTCGTCGTAAGTAACAATACGGCTAATAAAACGACCTAAAAATTTTCTTTCCAATAATCATTACACGTATTTCAATTTCATCATAATCTACTATTCATGTTATTGCATTATCAACAAACAGATTGCTAATGACACCCTTTGTACGTGACTTATACATTTCAGATTTAGATTTGATCCTGGCTTTCCATTCATGCGACTGCAGTTCAGGCTTAACGAAGCAAGTTTTGGACACACATTACACTTTGAGGACCTTGTTCCCGTGCTTCAAGGACCGCAAGGTAGATCAAGTCATAGAAACCATTGAGACAGTGTAAGTTAAAACTATTTCCTACTAATATTAAATATACATACGATTACGCAAAAAATTATGGCTTATGTTTGACAAACTATGGTCTATTATTCTTTCAAATGAAATCTACTGAATGGATTTTAGTAATAATATATTTGGTACATAATAATGGCTTTAGTCCGTAATTTATGCAGACACTCCTTGTATGACTTTTGTGTGGTATAAAATCATATATCTATAAACAATGCTTGTTCGTAAGCATATATAATTTTTTAATCATACTTAATTCCTAATACGAGGGCGTGGAATAACGTCAGAAACGAATATTAACATAATACCTATTAAACGACGATAAAATAACTAATGCCTTGGACGTTCAACAGACTTTTAATACCGTTGCCGACGCCAGCAAAGCATGGATACAAAATAAACTACAGCCACATCCTTAAAACAGATCCAAAATGTTTCAATTTTAGCGAAACAGTTAAGTGAGTTACATTTATTATTATCATACAATATTACTTTACCTCGTTAATGCGAATACAATTGTTTAATTGCATTCAATTTACCTTAATTCTTATTTTTACGCCAATTTTGTAATTTCATGTTATTTAAATAAATACTGCTTACAATGTAATATTTCCTATAACAGAACTTGTCATTAAAGAATTGACTTTTAGTAAGGTATAATAAATGACAATAAGTACCTACACTTTATTTAATTGCTACTTATTTATCAAGTAACTAAGAATTATTTACTTCTTTTTCAGGGCGTTGTTTATGATAACAGATATTTACCAGTACGAAGAAGGAACGTGGCCTGGTTTTCTATTTGTCGTTGACTTTGAAGGGATCTCTTTAGGTCATTTAAGCAAGATAGACTTGCAAAGTCTACAGCATGTACTATATTTTCTTCAGGTAACCTAAAGTTACTATCAGCTCCTTGATTAATAAAAACTCTTATCTGATTTCACTGTAATGCAAAATTGCTATTTTTTTCATACAGGAGGCTATGCTGGTTAAATTAAAAGGTATGCACTTCATCAACGCACCGTCCTTCATTGATAAACTTTTATTGATGATGAGGCCGTTCTTGAAGAAGGAACTCATGGATATGTTACACATACATACAACAGGATCTACCAAATTACAAAATTATATTGACATAGAAGCCCTGCCAAAGGAAGCTGGTGGCTCGTATAAAAGCATTCAAGAATGTAAAGGTAAATAACTATATACCTAGTACATACAAAAACTAAATAGTTAAATAAATTCAATTAATGAGCAAAAGAATTTTAAATATTTCGTCGCTCTGAACTCTCTTTAATCAGTACAATCGTTTATTTCTGGGTATAATAAGTCAATCAAAATACTTTCTACCTCTTTGAAGACGTTTCATTTTCAGTGTTGTTAAAGTAGGTTGAGGTCGCTTATAACTTTTATTCATTTCCTATAACCAGTTTAAAAACAGTATTTTAATTGACACGTACAAGGAAATAGGACATTATAAATATAAGCATCTATTTTAATTACTCTGCCAAAAAAAATAAAAGCAATATTTCACACTAGCAACATTCGTTTTTCAGATGACGTCATAGCTAAGTTGAAGAAACATGCAGATTTTTTCGAAACAGAAAAATACAAACGGGTAACGGAATCTTTGAGACCTGGAAGACCTAAAACGATAACAGACATCTTCGGAGGAGTTGAAGGATCCTTCAAGAAGCTGGAAATAGATTGAGAGAAAGAACGTAATACGGTCAAATGAAGTTACTTATTAGGTACATTTCTTTAAAATGACGTAATTTTATCTATTGTACAATACTTATACATATAATATCAATTCGTTGTAACATCGGAATCGTATTCAAGATATAAAGATATCTTGACTCTTGATAGATAAAAATTTTATTGAAGATAAAATGTTGTATTATTTAAAAAAAATATATTCGATTATAAATGGTATTTTCTCTCTTTATTTTTCACCTTTTATCATTAATATGTTTTGTTTACTAAACAGCAGCCGTGATCACGGTAGGATGAAGTTAAAGTAACTGTAATAATTATATCACAAAATGAATATTTATTGAGTGTCATATTCTACACCAGAAATCTGACAAATAAGTTGACATGATTCTCAGATGGATGGTAGGTGAATATGCCGTTTGCCATTTTCATAGCCTCAAAACAAGGAATTATTATATTTTTATTTTTTGAGACGAAACCTCTCGGCATTCAATGTATTCACCGTGTGTGTGTCGGGTCCATCGTTGTAGGGAGAGGAGCTTCAACAGTGACTGGGACTTGTGACCCAGGTGTAGGTTTAAGGGACCCCTATCTAACGCGTTAAACGCTCACCTCCACTTTCTGTTAAATAAACACTAAACATATAATAAAAGGATTAAAGCTTATGAGTTGTAACTAAACATTTGTTTAAGTAAGTGGCACAACGACTCCTTGATAACAACGTTGGCAGTTTATTGACTGATAATATACGGAAAATAACATTTTCCTGTAGATTTCAGATGTCAGAAATCTCATAATCAGAATTTGAAATGGCCCATTTATAAGCAAAAACAAATTATTTTATTATATTTACGATGATTTTGATGCAAGACGAAAGTATACCTACTGTTTACGAGTATATTCTTTTTATTCCAAAATGGCGGACAGTCCGCAAAAAATAACACAAATTTTCTTTTCACCTTTCTATTATATGACGATTTAATTGAATTGTGTAAAAATACTATACATATATACTTATAGATTAAATTATGCATATAACTTGTTTTCTGTCACAATTGTTAATTGTGTTACATATGATAAGTGTTCTACAAAGTTTAAACACAAACAAAGAGAACTATTAGGAGATTATTTCGGAAACTAGTTCTTTGACTAAACCGAACAATATACAACTTACAACACATGAAAATATGACGCGCATTATTTTTATATTATGAAATTTTCAAATATAATAATAAAATTATTTATTCAATTAATATCACGTCTTACTTCATCGAACGGCAGATAATAATTCCGTTGTCAATAACATAATTTGAACCGGTTATCCCTTTAGCCTTGTCACTTGAAAGGAATAGTATCAAGTCCGCTACCTCCTTAGGTTCGGAGACTCTTTGTAGAGCTGTGCTGTTACAGAAGTTGTCTACGTCGATGTTGAGATCGTCAAAAATATTTGTCCTCACTGGGCCGGGGCTGATCGTGTTCACTCTGACTCCATAAGGCGCTAATTCAGAGGCTATACAAAGACCCAAATGATTCAAAGCGGCTTTAGATACATAGTACATGGAAAAGCCTGAATTAGGTCGTGGTACCATCTGCCCTCCTACACTAGAAACGTTTATAATACTACCCTTCGTTTTAATCAAATGCGACGCAGCCAAAGACGTCAGATGTATGACAGCGCGTAAATTTATACCCATAGTTGCATCGTAGGCTTTTAATACATTCAAGTTGAGAATGCTTTCTGGAACTACAACTCCGGCGTTGTTGACTAAAATGTCCAATTTCCCAAATTGCTTAATAGTTTCATCTATAATTCTCCGCGCGTCATCATCATTAGCGACATCAGCTCGTATGACTAATGGTTTGTCACACTCGGCGGCCACAGCTGACAACTTGGCCTCGTTCCGTCCAACCATCACAACCTGAGCTCCCTCTGAACTGAACTCCTTCGCCACGGCGGCTCCGATACCAGAGCTGGCTCCCGTCACTATCACTACTTTACCATTAAAACTCATCTTAAGAAATTTTTGTCAAGGCTTTATGCAATATAATTTAAGATTTTCACACCTGTTCTTTATATAGACTATCTGTTTCTGAATCATACATATTTATCTCAGAATATATATGAAATCCTTATCAATGTAGGTAGAATTCCAACTTATGCGATTCTTGAGGAGCAAACACCACTTTACTTGCTTATTTATATAAAGATAAGGTACTTATAATAATATTAGAAACATGTATTTTCATCTAGTTTGCCATAGTAAAGGCATAGTCAAACTCTCTTCACAAATTTATTTCACTGTCTTGTCTTTGTAATAATGTTATAGTGGAAATTCATGTTGATTTAAAAACACCTTAAATGATCCATTAGACCAAGGGGCTGACTCTTTTAAATAAAAAAAATAGACTTTATTTGCCATGTCTCACTTCAGTACGATTTTTTTTTAAAGAAATATTTGTTGGTTATTCGAACAATAATCTACATTTTCTCCATATATATATAGCCATTGTGAGGGTGCATATATTGAACAGCGAACTGTTTTTTTTTTGATAAGCCTAAAGATAAATCATTCTTTTTAAATAGACGAATTTATTAAATTAAAATCTTCACATTTACATACAGCCCCATGCAATATTATTTACCTAGAAAAAATCAAACCACGTCAAAGGTCTATTTCCAACCTTTTACTGCAAACCTTTTATGGGAATATTCTTCATCTAGAATGATGACAGAATGACATAGTGAAGACAGAATTTAGTAAGCTGTACGCTTTAAAAGAACACCATTATCAATGACATAATTGGAACCAGTTATAGACTTTGCTTTATCGCTTATAATAAACATGATCAAGTCTACAATTTCCACTGGATCGGAAACCCTGTCCAGGCAAGTGGTTTTCTTAAAATCATCCCACGTAACTTTTACATTCGTGTTTTCCAAAATATCGGTAACTACTGGCCCTGGGCTAATAGTGTTAACTCTGACACCATAATGAGATAGCTCCTCAGCCGCACATAAACCGAAATGATTTAAAGCCGCCTTCGACACATTGTACATAGCCATACCAGTTCTTGAATCTATAAGTCTCGCTGCAACGCTAGATATATTTACAATATTGCCCTTCGTCTTTATCAAATGCGGTGCTGCCAACGACGTCAACAACACTATAGCGCGAAGGTTGATGGGCATAATTTTATCATAAATATCAATAATATTACCGGACATTAATTTAGCGACACCTGATACGCCAGCGTTATTCACCAGCACGTCTAGTTTACCGAATTTTTTGATGGTTTCATCTATAATTCTCCTCGCGTCATCATCATTAGCGACATCAGCTCGTATGACTAATGGTTTGTCACACTCGGCGGCCACAGCTGACAACTTGGCCTCGTTCCGTCCAACCATCACAACCTGAGCTCCCTCTGAACTGAACTCCTTCGCCACGGCAGCTCCGATACCAGAGCTGGCTCCCGTCACTATCACTACTTTATTATTGAAACTCATATTGACTTCCAGTAGTACTAAAAATGTTATTAGTACAGTTATTTAAAACACTCCACCTATAAGTACTTTCAAAACTCATGAATATTAATGTTCCTTAATAACTGGGTAACCAGCCTCCAAACATTGTTAGATAACAGTTTATTAACCCTTTCAATTAATTCTAACGCTTGTATATTTTAAGACAATTTGTCAAAAATATCAGTAATTTTATTGTAGTAATTTACATTTGCAAAAACTTGAAAGAATCACTGATAGAGTTCTAGCTGTCAAATACACGTTCATGCTAGTAAATATTTTGTTGTTCGTGTTCTTTGTTTGTTAAAAATTGTGAATCATTAATTTATAAAAGCATTTTTATGTAGGTTGGCAATACCAAAATCCAAAGATGATGATTGACAAAAAACCATAATGATGGTCCTATGACAAGTAATTTCTCAGAAAAATCCTAACTTTACATACTATGGGATATACCTTATGTTTCGTTCAAGCATTCCACATGCTTTTATTTCAAGAATCTTGAATTTGAAATATGTGATGTTGGGATCTTAAGTGACGTCAAGTTTTATTTAAATTTCTTTGCATCGATAGATAGAAAATTTCTTATTCTAGATGTAGGTATCAACTCTCAGGTTTAAGGTTGCCAAAAGCTGCTATAAAAGCAAGATATGAAAGAAATCTGATTTCAATATACAAAACTAAATCTTCTACAATCTACTTAATAAATGGCAGTGAACTTTTTGTTACTTAGTATTAGTTTACGAGTGTTAATGGTAGTAATAAATTCATAATCAGTGGTTTTATACTCTGTACACTGTCATTAATTTCATGACAGTACAGAACGTATTTCTACTAATATTATCTAGGTATAGTCTGCTTAAAAAAGTATCGCAAAATTCCAGTTCACATTTTGACATTCAAAGTAAATACGTAAGTTTAATTTCAAACGTCTAATTCGGTTCTATTAAATAATAGGTATTTTTTTTACTTGTACTCTATTCCTGTCTCGTATAAAATTTTAATAAAAAAAAATAGCTAAGAATATCATTAAATTATTATTATTTCGTATATTTTGCTAGTGATATACGATGAAGTGATCTTGTATCGAAGGAAAGTTCACCGCTGGTACAAATTGTTCTCACAAAACCAAGAGTAACCTTGTTCTCTACACAAACATAACCCTTTAATAAAATAAAAAAATATATGTTGTTTAACCATCAAACCATTGTTAGATAACTTGCTGAACATTTAACTTTATCGATTGGCTCCTATTATACGATGTATACCAATAATTTGTGCATGAGACGGCACGACTTATACATTTGGTCACATCATTTTTGTACACTATTTTACGATCATAAAACAAATAGTGCCACGTCACAGTATTTTCCAGATCTTGCCAACCAATTTTCTTTTGTTCTCAAAACCGAATAAAGTTATGGAAGGACCTCGCTACAAACAAGTGCTGCCACCAATCGGAAAACACGCCGAAACTCATTCATACATGTTTATACACAATTAATTTAACTATACATTACCGCGTACGTCCCGTCTTATTTAAAATCATTTTATGATAGAATTTCTCCAACGATTCTAAATGTCTACTCGCTTGTCCAAACCTCAACTTGGCATTGCGTTTTTCACTTTTACTCTTACTGTTAGTTGTATTAGATTTCACATCGTGACCGAGGAAGGAAGGCAGTTTGAATGGAACGTGTCCGTAACACGGATTTGGAATGGATATGTTCATCCCTATGGTACCTGTAAGAGGCTGGTCCTTGGTTCAGGATACGCCGTTAAAGAAAGCTGACATCGAAGGATGTGACGTAATCAGCATGACGTCATCCAAGGACAAAGACCGAGCAACGTGTATTTTATACAGTACTTCGTTACTCGTAATACCAGCTACAAAAAACTGATAATATAACAGACACTAATAGAGCCGCATATATTATTTTTACAGATTTAAAATTTTAAATATTAACAATGTTGTAAAGGTAATACTCATATTTGATGAGAAAATTTGTTGATACCATAGAAATATAAATATTTTTTGGTCTCGTATTCTGTGTTATTCAAGATTTCGGTTAGAAAAAGCGAGGCTGTCATATAAAAGTCGACCATTGGGGAAAATTACCAATATCCATACCTGAATCTAGGATTAAGTCACCATTAACTTAGCATTATGCACACTCAACCTCCAATATCTCTTGATTGTGTGGGGCTAGAATGTCTAAATTACAGATAGTCTATTAACAAAAATGCGATAAACATTATTGTTAGTATAGCTGCTTATGCTTAAGCATTACACAATACACAGTCGCGATAGTTCAGATGTAATTTATATATACTCTTATAACTAAACCAAAATTGAGTAATAGTGGTTGAAGAAGGAAAAAAAACATATATTATAAATGCGAAAGTAACTGTCTGTCTGTTACGCTTTCACGCCTAAACCACTGAAATGATTTGAATGAAATTTGGTACAGAGATAGAGTTGACCTTGAGAAAAAACATGATAGTTTTTATCCCAGACTTTTGAAAGGTTTTCTTGGAAACGCGACATAATCGAACTCCACGCGGGCGAAGCTAGTATATTATAAATATAGTGAATAGAAAGTAACTTCGACTATAATCATTTGTACCAAATTCACAAAATCTGGTTATAAAAACAAGTTATGAGTCAAAAGAATAGATTTAAAACATATTTTATTTAATGACCACATGCTATATAATACAACCAATAAATTTTCGCAGTTGCATTTCGCATTATTTAAACAAAAATTTATACTGATGGTAAATATATTAATTAACTAGAAGATCAATAACAAGAATCTCATCTATCAGTATACTGATAATACTTAAAATTCATTAATTTTTATTTTTATAAAGCACTGAGGCAAAAGCACTATCAACACATTACACATATGTAAAATTACTTAATCAATGGACTATTCGCAACGCTTATTTTGCAATAGCAATCAATACATTTATCAAAATTTAATACTTATAAATGCTGTCATGTTCACTGAAGCTTAGCCATAACAATTAAAAAATAATTCAAAGTCATATTTCAAAGTATAATCACAAATGCTGTTTCCAAATGTGACCAATTCATTACTATATGCCAATTAAGAAGTTTTAAAATATACTTCATTTATAAATCTTTAAAAGTTCTTCGTTTAACTCAATACAAATTAACTATCTCTCTACACTATTTTTTCAATGTTATACAGCTTAGTATTAAATTACTAGCAAAACAAATGTGATATTATTTTCATGAGATATTATGAATATATGACTCTATTTAGAGTAACCAACTTGTTGATGGTAATATTTTTCAAATTTAAGAAATACATATATTTTGAATTCGCTTGCTTGTGAGTTATAATTTGCTTTATATTAAAAAGAATCCCAAAAAAGTTACAGCTTCGCAGAATGCACAGCAGAGTATTAAAAATGCATAGGAAAACTATTTGTATAGTAATTGAAAATAATAGAGGTAAAATTGTTAATGTAATTAGGTTTTGGATAAATTAGTGACTAAAATTTACTACAAGCATTGAAAATATACAAGCAATTAAGAAAGAAAAGAAACAGTAGGCATGTATTTATTTGTATCATGTACAAAAATATTTCATTCAGATTCAAAGACAGGTAAAATTAAGGTTCAAATAAAATAATCAGTTTACTTGGAAAGTTTATTTCACAGAAACAAACATGCCGTCACATTACGCTTAAACCAAAAATTGGAATATAAAACCGCGTGCTATACGCCATCTGTAATACAAACGAAAAACTATTGACTGGATGTAAGAAATATAGAATTGAGAAAATTGTAAGAATTGTAGTTATAACAAATAAATACAAAATTAAAATATAGTAATATTATTTATATAGTTGTTTGTAGGACTTGTTATAAATTCAATTAAGTCTTATATGGACAGTAGTCTAAGTAAGAATAATAAAAAAACTATCATTTTCTTAGATATATCTAACTTATAAACTTCACTGTTATTTGTAATATTTTTAATATGTATAGCAATCTTAATAACAATTTATGTTAAAAACTATCATTTCCTAAATAATTTACAACTTGTACCTATAATAATAAAGTTATTTGTAATATATTTAGTTGTAAACCTCACCTGTGTTTAGTCAAAGAGACCGAAGCCCATATCTTCATCTTCAGATTCAGATTCTTCCTTCTTGGCCTCCTTCTCTTCTGTAATAATAAAACATTTGTGAGTCACAAAAGAACATTACAAAAATATTAATCATATTAAACATTACATCAGATATGAAATTAAACAGCACTGTCAATCAGTCGAAAGATGGTGTAAATTGATATTCATCACAAACTAAATGTATAAACTATTAAACTATAGTTAGTGTATACTGACCCTTCTTCTCCTCAGCAGCAGCGGCGGCAGGAGCAGCAGCAGCGGCAGCGGCCGGTGCAGCACCTCCAGCTGGCATGGCTGACAGCTTCTCACGACCTGGAACAAACATTCAGCTTATTGAAGACATATCCTTGAATACTTTCTGTCTTATAGTATTGTTTCTTTATAGATATAGCCAATGTTATGTATTAAATCATCGTCATTGTCAGCCTATAAGTGCCCACTGCTAAGCAAAGGTCTCTTCTCACATGGAGAAGGTTTGAGCATTGATCCCCACGCTTGCTAAAGATGGGTTAGCAATTTATTGGTGATGTCTTGAATATACTAATTGAATTGAAAATCAGTTTCTATTATAGATGAAAAGTAATGTTGATAATTTATAATATTCCTGAGATGTTTATAAAATGTTTCATACCCAGAACGAGAACAGCAAAATTATATTTCAACTAATTATACTTATCATTTCATCTTAATACTTATCATACTATGTAACAGTTTACACTACAGAATAACTAAAATTTGATATAAAAATTGCTTTTGATTAGTCATTTTGCAATAGTATATACTGCATCTTAAGATATTCAAATGACTTGTGTACATTTATAAACACATGGTGAAATTACAATAAGTATATATTTTCTTATATGTAAATCACTAACATATGTTAATACACTACTTATAGTACATTTTAGATTGCTTCAAAGTCTTAAACACTAAGTTTATAAACCACATGGTTACAAAAAAAACATGTGACCAAACAATAAAATGTATAACTAGAAACATAAGCTTTTTCATATAAATTTACTCTATAGAACATTAATTTTGGCGCCAAAAGTAACTTTGTAAACTAAGTTTCAATTGTCATATGGATTGCAGTAAAAAGATAAGTAATAATGGTTTATTAGTGAAAACCATACAAGTTGTATTGGTATTTATATTAAATGTGAGTAAAATAGATTTTTTGAGGAATCTGATTATATATAATACGTGTTCGTACCTTGAGCGATCAGGTCCTCAACGGTCTTGCCGCTGAGTTCATCGATGACCTTCTTCAGTCTCTCAGAATCAGCTTCAATACCGACAGAGCTGAGGATCTTCTCGAGGTCGGAGGCTGCTGGGGAAGCCTTTCCACCGAGCACAGCTAACAAATACGCGGCCACGTAACGCATTCTGGAATAATCAACACATCACTCACCATACATATACACGTGGAACTAAACCAACACGTGTTAAATTTATTATCAGTAATAATTATAACAGCACTGACATTCAGTCGAAAGATGGCTTAATTTGAAATCATCATCCAAAAATAACTATTTGTTTGACAAAAAGGCGGCACATTTTACATATCAACCACGATGCTGAAATTTAGGTTATGTTACAAAAAATATATAAACCGCACTATTAAACACAAAAATAATATTCAGAAACACATTTAGAACGTAATGTATCGATAAATTAATAAAAATATTAATATATTCACAGCAGCAAGCGACTTTATTCACGACAGCAAGTAACTCAAATACCACGCCGAAAATAATCCGAGTGAATCTAATATAATTTAAATATTATTTATATTAAATTGTAACGAATACATTAAATATTAACCGAATATTATTTAACAACAAATATTTAATAATATAAAACTTACTTTTAAGTCGTACAGACACGAAACGTGTAATGCCGTAATAAGACGATCACTTTGAACGAAGTGTCAAAGTAAAAGAATCATATAGAAGCTCCGCCGTCAAACATCAGATTTTTTTTTCGTAACGTAGAACAGGGAGGCAAAGAACTTGACCATACAGCCTAGTAAAAAATTGTCTTTCTTTGTAATTAAATTATAAATTTCACTTAAACATGAATAATATTAATGTTTCATTATTTAAGTGTTTTCCAAAAATTTTATTTAATGATTTTAAGTGAAAGTCTGTACTTATTATATTAACTTATAATCTTACTCATAGGTTAAGACTTATTTATTAAGGACTTATGGCCGAAATAACTAAGATTTCCTGAAAATTTTAAATTAAAAAGTTGTTAAAATTAACCAGTTTACAATTATTGTGGATACTTAATAACTATTTAACAACGGCTATATAAGTTGGGAAATAATTGGTAGATTATTGAAATTATTTACTTTAAAGGTATTACAATTCTTTGCATAATAATATTACATGTAAGTGACAATTATTTTTTAATAAATAGATATTTTGTTGTATTATGTATTGAATATTATTATTTAAAGAGTGTTATTATAGGTTATGGTGAATTTGAAGAAATATTTTCGTTATAGGTTTATATTTAAATAATGATATAATAGTAAATATTTGATCTGTATTTATAATTTTTTTTCGTTTAGAAAATATTAAAATGTGATATCACCAAAAAACCATATTTACTTTTGCGTCCTAACTGACATAGACTTCCTAACTGAAATGACATGGTTGAAAGAAGAATTTATTAGAAACTTAAACTAAGTGAAATCAGAAATGTATTAAATGCATTTCGACACATAACAACTGAATAATATCCGTTTCTTGCTACCTTCTTTGAAGTACGCATTACCGTTTTATGAAATCATTTAATGATGTCCACCATTGATTTTTATCAATTTTGCGTGTTTTCTTGGGTTATAAAAAAACGTCATGTTGCAATCGTGAAATCCTTATTATATTAGGTAGATAGAAGCTTGAGAGCAAATCTTAATTTAAAATATATCTTAGAATAGAATTATCTTCATGTCTAAAACATTTTTATTGTATTTCCAAACTATTTGTTCAATACTTTCCACACTCTGAATCTCATACACTAATAACTCTTGTCGTGCTCAAAACCTGTAAATTCATTTTCAACTCTGACCTTGGTTAATAAAATAGCACATCAATGATTTTACTTTTTTAAATTTTATAAAGATTTTGATGATTGCCATAACAATTACATATAACATAAATAGAATTGCTACTAGATTAATTACTTAAAGAATTCTGCAATTCCATCTGAGATCTTCTTAAGAAGTCAGTACTTGAACGATAGAACAAGAATATTTTTGGGATTTAATTCGCATACAGTCATCAATTCTCTATTTTAAGTTCCATAATTTGATGACTTTCTGTTTATGAGAATACAAGACTCAGATGTGTTGTTATTTTTTTTTAAATAAATTTGTATACCTATCCTAGTTGATAAAAAATAACCTAATTCTTGTATTTTCTTTTGGATGTGCGAAGAAAACAAGTTGAGATTGTGTAGGGTTGTCAGAAATGTAGTATTTCATAGTGTATTAGAGGAAGATGTATCTTAAGTTTTAGATGATGGTACTGGTGTTGGATCACTGCCTTGCCTGCCAAAAAAAAGTAATCAATTTCAATACCAACACACATTTCTGTATAATGTTGATTTACAGAGTCAATGACCCTTTTTGTTCCATACACAAAAACCCGTAGTTGAAATCTATTTATTTAAGTTTTCCTAAGTCTCTTAATTTAAAACTAACTTAAATAAATGACAGGGCATTTCTCTTTATCTATAGTTCATATATTTTTGTGTTCTACACCTCAAATCTGTTCGGTTTAAAGAAATAATTGGCAATAGACCACTAGTCTATTTTATAGCCAAATAATAGATAGGCTGAATTCAATATAAATAACTGTTTAAATATAGCAATAATAATTCAAAATTTAAAAATATATTAAGATAATTTTTTACCATTCTTCAACAACCTCTAAGTAAGTCTTTAGGTCAAGTAATTACAGCTCAAACATGGGCTGGCTTGACCGGGGAAGTACCAATCTCTCACAGAAAATCAGCGTGAAGTAACCTTTAGTGGCTGCGTTTCGTCTGATGAGTGAGAGAGCCGGTTACCTTTTCCCTATTCCCACCCTTTCCTGCCATTTCCTTATTCCCATTCATTCCTTTTCCTTAACAATGAAGGTTGCCAATGCATCCGCAAGATCTCTGTCATGAATGTATGTGGGGGACGGTCACTACTGCCCATCAAGTAGGCCGTCTGCTCATTTGCCATCTTTCACATAAAAAAACTAAATGATTCTCTATATAAATTTACAAGGGATTAATGACAGAAACGTATGTCTAACATCAAATGACTCATAATTTGGAAACAGAATTCAATAAAACAATAACTTATTAAGTGATAATGAACATTTTTATAATATGAAATAAAATTTTGTAATAGAATATTGCATACAAACAACAGACTTTTTCCAAAACAAAGAAGTTTAAAAACAAAGGTTATGTAACAAGCAAGTGTATAAAAATAACTTAGAAATTCATATTGAATTCAAAATCTTAATTGTTTGTATTTTCTACTACCTCAGAAGTGTTGAGATTTCAACCAAGCAGTTTAATGTCTTCCCTTTTATCATTATAACTAACCAAACATGCAAAGTATGGTACAAATGTTATTCCTTTGATGTACCTAAATAGTTAAATCATAATATAAATACTGTGAGGATTAATAATTATAATTCTAAATAATGAAGGTTCCGCCCGTTTAAAGACTAATTAATAAACTAAGTAACTAGTAGGTAAGTGCTATATGCATATTTTGCTTTCATACAAATTTACATCAAATATAAAGTTGTTTTATGTAAGAATAAGATCTTTATTAAAATTACAATTCTATTTTTGTGATACAACAATTTTTGAAACATTATAGGGGCTGGATTTTTTTTAGGTATATAAAATAATTAATAAAAACATGTAATGTTTGACATAAGATATTCACAGAATGACAAAAATATTTAGGTTATTTTGCAAAACGTTAAATTTGAGGTCAAAAATCAATAAATGTAAAAAATTTGTTTATTTTTAAATTATTTGTGATAATATAACACCCTTTTATAAAATATCAGATGGAATTTAAATTATACTACAACATAACGTGATATACACTTTCAACCAAAAAATTACTAAAAATATCTTTAGTTTTTTTTTCGTCCGATCGTTCGATCGATCGTTAACGTTTTGGGGTCTTATTCTAGATGACCTTAAATTTTGGAAATAAGACGCAGGAATGATTTTATACTCCATAAAAATGTTACAAAAATATTTTCAATAGTTTTTGTATATTCTATACTTAATTCTCGCAAGAAAGATGATTATGAAATAATTCCTATTAAAAATAACTCTCATTGCTTTAGGTGCTTCAAGAATTAGGTTATTAAATGTTATCAATGCACCATTCACAGTGCAGTAGAGCGTGGTAAATATCAAAAGTCTTATAATAAATCCATTGTACGTTGTGTTGTCAACATTTAAATTTGAAACTAGACAGAAACATTTAGCAGACCTCATTTGTTATTGCATTGGCAATTTTACTAACATAATATGATAATTATGTAACAAAGTATGCGTATTATTGTTAATTTTAATAAATATATTTGACACATATTGTCGTTAACTACAGATTCGTGCTGAACATTCAATACTGTGTTTATTTTCTTTGATTTATATTTATCAGAGATTTATGTAAATAATAATTTCAATTCTGTATTAGTTTGTGAAGACCAGATTAAATATACAGGGTGACTGGTGAATTACTATCGATATTTGAGGACGTGATATTTGACGATCATATATGACAAAATAAAAATTAATATAACATAAATATTAATAAACTTCTAAGTAAAGTTAACCAAAAGTTATGTAATTAATTACGCATCGTATGAACACCCTACAGATTAGGTATACACACACACTCACACAGACGCGGCGGCGGCGTAGTGTTGTATCAGCACGCCGCCGCACACGTCCACACTTGGAACACTTGGAACGTGTACACACTTTATTTATTTATACGGAAATTTGGTCAAAAATTAAGTACCTATTTTTTTTACATAATTCGAATGAGAATCATGTACCGAGTATGCTCCTTAAATATTGATAGTAATTCACCAGTCACCCTGTATAAACAAAACCAAAATAATACGAATAAGGACAGGATATTGTTTAAAATATATCAATATTACAGTTTAGATTTTTTAAATGCTGATATACCGTAAATACTCTTTGGAATAATTTTACGAATACTAATGATTGAAATATTTTTTTTGTGAAGGTCAAGAAAAATTAATGATTGCTCATGTGAAGTAAAGTTTATTGAAGTTAATCGTTATTTAACCAACAATAATTAATATTTAATATAAAC